GTTATTCGAAAAATTGTTCAAAATCATAAGTAAATGTGGTAGCAAAGAGACATGGAAAGGATGTGTTTTACCTGATTTCTGAAACTTTGTGTTGTACATTCAGTGTTGCTCAGAGAGCTTATACCTTGTGAGTTCTACGTAAATGTGAAGATGCATTTTAAATTAGGTGTTGCAAATATCAGGTAAAATAAGTAAGTGTGAAGAGCATAGTTATGTTCTGTTTCCACTTTCTGCTCTTTTCAAATTCCATTTTATATGTATTCGAAGAGCCTGTTTGAGAGTAACTGCAATGAGCAGATGGGAGATACACACAGAGAAACAGAGGTCTGTAGAAGAATGTAAACCTAACTTTTGCTTTATACACACTCTAAGTTTTTCTGTAGTTGCTGAGTAGAATTCTCATTGTAGTTAAAGGTAGTTTTCCATTAATTAAGTGAAGACAGTAGTCTGCTTGTGTTTTGTTGGATAGTTAATAATAGCTGAAATAAAAAAAAAAAAGGCCAATTAGAAAACTTGATGTTGGCATAATGTTGCATTTGGTTCTATTAGTGAAAATTTTATATTGTGTTCAGAAACTAAGATAAGACAATCAACTGTAATTCTACTTTCTTGCACAGTTTCCATGTTAACATCGGTGGGGACTTGGAGTTTATGGAAAAAAATAGATTCATACCTCAGCTCTGTTTTGTAATACCTTGAACTTTCCAGTACATCAATCCAGAAGTAATGCCTCCTATTTATTTACATGGAAATAACAGTAGATTGATACAAACAGCAGAACAACACTATGAAATACTATTTTTCAACACAGTCATAGTCGTGTGCTGATTTACACAGATGAGCTAATTGAGATGCTCTTCCCTTTGTGATATGACAGCTGTGCATGGCTGTCTGGAACATGTTCTTTCATGTTGCTGTCACCACTGCTGAAATGCACCCGCTGCCTCACTGTGCAGTCACTGGGCTCCATAAACATTTGGCAAGAATCAATAAATGTCTATGGGTGCGATTTTTCAGGGATTTAATTCCAACCCTTTGCTTCATACTTGCATGTCAGACGCCAGCAGTCAGACTGCTTCTCTGTTGCCATGTGTCCCACAGCAACAAAATATTTGGGAATATTGGTGGGAAGGCTTAACTTCTACTACCACACCACCACCATCTGCCTCTGTGGGGCCACATAATAAAATAGGAGACATTACGTTCAAAGCATATCTGCTTTGAACCATATCTGAATACAGCTGCCACGTTTCTCAGGGTTTTTAATTAAAGGACTCTCTAGCTTGTTCTTTTTGATGAAACAGCTGTGTAAGATAGAGAATATGAAATGCATTAATTAAAATAATATAAACAAACATTAACTGCGACTACTGTATGAACACTGCTTTGTAATCACAAGCTTAGATGTGTTATAGTGCAGATTATTTCTGCATTTGCCAAATTCAGTAAATTGAACTTTTTTCATGTGAATAACTCTGTTAACTGTATTTATTGGTTCCCAGGTAGATCCAGAGTAAAAGACAATCTTGCTCTACAGTTGCATATAGATGTAGCAGCTGAGATGAGACATTTACAAAAAGAGTCTAGCTGTCTGTTTCTTATTCAGACTGAGTTCTTTAGAATAACTCTAAGGATTTGCCTGAGTAAGAAGGGCAGGATTTAACTTTAAAAACAGGGACCAACTTGGCAAGTGAAATGTCTGCTAACTGCTTTAGGAGTAATTAGTTCTTAATGCAACTTCAAGGAATATTGTGTGTAATATGGTAAGAGAGCAGTGTATTTATGATGAACTTGTATGTGGCCTTCCTTTACATCCTTTATCTTGTGAAGTCTTTTTTGGTGCTATCAGTGATTCTTTTTTCTATGATAGTCTAAATAAAGTTTATTCAAGTAGATGTGCATTTGTGTTCTCTGTTACGTACTGAGGATAAGGCGTTAATGTTAATTCACTTTTTTCCCTCCATCCATGTTTATTATCAAAGCAATGAATTTTTATGATTCTCCATTTCTGGACGTACTGTGGTAGTCACAAATCAGGAGGCTGCTCTAGCCTGTGTCCACTTGGCATAGTTTTGGGAACCGTTTCTCTGTTGTAATGTTGAACGTGAGGAAGTTGTCTATGGTAAGTTAGTCCTAGAAAGTATGCAGTCATTAATCTCTGTTTCCTTCATGGAACTGTAAGTGGAGTACACAGAATGAGAATGTTTACCTTCATATATTCTGAATTTCTGAAGTCACTTCGTTTCTGCAAAACTGCTACTTATATGCTGTATATGGACTTACAGAGCTGCTAAGTGTGATGGCTAACTTTCAGTCCAGAAACTTACTCTTTTGCTTACTGGTGACTGGATGATAATCAGACTGGAGGCAAATGAGGGGATGCTGAAACAGTTGGGTGAGCTGTGGTTTTTGAGATGAAAATGCAAATGATGGAATTATGTTGAAGGTTAGTTTTCATTGGAAGCAGATAAAACAGTTGTTCGTATGATCCAAACTGAGTGTTTCTGTTGTAGATCATTGCCTAAGAATAAGGAAAGTAAAAGGGCTGCCCCACCAGGGAAGCTGACAGAAAAGCTGGCAGGATGGTGACTTCTTTTAGAGGAAAATGAATAAGGAAAGTGAAACAAGCTTAGTGGCAACAGTCAGGGTCAGCCTCAGTCTAGAGGCTGCTAGACAGGTCTGGAGTGACTGGTCATGTTCAAATTCAAGCCAGCAAGACACATCAGCAATCAGCATCAAGATGAGTTCTATGGCAAAGCACAGGCATACCTACAGCATAGCTCTGACACAGGGACCAAGATCTGAGCTTAGAGACACTTAAATACAGCTGCTGAGCCAAGGCACAGAAACTTTCCACAAGGTTGCTAATGATCTTTCTTGCACAGACTTCTGCAGCAAGTTCATCCCAGAAACACAGTGTCAAAGCTGGCCTTGCATGGACAGCCCAACCACTGTGAAGGTGAGAGCAGGTTACAGAGCTGGAGGGTGCTCTCACAGCCCTGAAACTCCGTTGATATAAACAAAGCAGCTGCTGTCTGTGGAATTCAGTCAGAGTTTCTGTCCGTTCCTTAAAATATCTTTTCCAGTCAAAAATAGAAGTGTTGGGACACAGAATTTTCTGCTGCCCGCCCAACGGAAGGCTTAAAATTGTTCGTAAGACCTTTCAAAAGACCTTTTTTTCTGCTCTCACTGATTTACAACATGGTTTTTCATTTTTCAGAAACTCTAACTGGTAGTTTTCAAGATTAATGCTTGAGAGAAGAAAAAGAATCTGTGGCCAAATTCTCAGCTTATTCAGAGAATGGCTTGTGAGCCTAATCATCTTACTGCGTTGTAGGGGAACGTTGTAGTTGTTGATCAGCAAAGTAACTCTGTGTGTTTTGCAAATCATATTGAAGTGTCTTTCAGGAGGAAAAGTTTGAAATGGTTTCCTTTGTAGTATTCCACTTCTACCACGAGATGGCCCACGTCAACCGGTAGTTCATTTGCCATTTCTTAATCAGGCATAATGGTGTATTGAAAGTCGTGTTGTATTAAATAATATACTTATTGGGGTGTCTACATATGCACCAGTATATTGAGCACGTGGGGGAAGACTGGAGTAGACAGAATAAGACAGGCACGACTGATTGGCAGAGCGGGAGAAGAAAAGAGGGTACAAGAGCAGAGTATTACCTGAGCTGAGATTAAATTGTAATTCCAGTGAATATTGAAAATTTTGAGCATTACATGGAGATGACTGGAATGAGGTTCCTATTTTCAGGTGATATTTCCTCCACTGCAGCTGCCAAATCTATCTTGGTTCTTTCTTTTCTATGAATAAGAAATGAACTCTTACAAACCATAAGAGTTTAAACAGAAATCTCTGAAAGCTTGAACTCAGAAAACATTTGCCTTGGAGGTAGGAAAGGCCACTATGGATTCCTTTAGGCAAAGAAGATATTATGGGGAAGAAGCATCCAGAATAGATGATCTAAATACAGTTTAAAAGAGTAAGATCCTAAACCACAAGTTGCTTTTTAGGAGAAGAAATATACCAAATAAAAATGCAACCAAAATAAACAAAATCCACAAAACACCATTTCTGAGCTAGCTGGCCGTGTGAAATTCCCCAGCAAGACCATGAATTGAAAGCTGAGAGGAACTGTCTGTGACTATTCCCATTTTAGTGCTAACTAGCTTGTTTCTGGGGCTAATTTTTAACTTTTCAATTCATAGAATCATAGAATGGCCTTGGTTGAAAAGGACCACAACGATCATTGAGTTTCAACTCCCTGCTATGTGCAGGGTCACCAACCACCAGACCAGGCTGCCCAGAGCCACATCCAGCCTGGCCTTGAATGCCTCCAGGGATGGGGCATCCACAACCTCCTTGGGCAACCTGTTCCAGTGCATCACCACCCTCTGTGTGAAAAACTTCCTCCTAATATCTAACCTAAACCTCCCCTGTTTCAGTTTGAAACCATTCCCTCTCGTAAACAGCCATTCCCCCTCCTGTTCATGTGCTCCCTTCAAGTACTGGAAGTCTGCAATGAGGTCTCTATGTGCCTTCTCTTTTCCAAGCTAAACAAACCCAGTTCCCTCAACCTTTCCTCACAGAGAGGTGCTCCTGTGATCATCTTAGTGGCCCTCCTCTGGATCCACTCCAAGAGCTCCATGTCCTTCCTGTACTGTGGGCCCCAGGCCTGGACGCAGTACTGCAGATGGCGCCTCACAAGAGCCAAGTAGAAGAGGAGTAAAGCCAAGGAGAGGGGGACAGTGCATCCTTAGTGCAGCCTTATTCATTGCCACAGACACCACTCAGAAAAGATATGGAAGGGTAGATTGTACCATGTTTCTCTGCAGTCTTTCATTAAAAAAAATTAATAGCATACTAGATATTTTTTTTTTTTCTTTGAACATTGATAAAAGTATGGGGACATTTTGAAAAAGCAAGTAAAATGGACATGAATGGGTTCATAGTTGTTTGTTATTCCAACATTACCATTTTATGTAGTGAGTCCTGGGGAGAGAGAAACAATGTGTAATTACACAGCTGAAATGACATACAATTGCATACTTGAGAATGTTTGTGTTTGAGGTGGGAGGATATACACAAAAAGTTCTCAGAGTTGCTTGCATCATGGCAATTAATTTGTTTAAATTTATCTGTGTTTTTTTTTTTTTCCTTCTGTGAATTATACTTGCTCGTATTTACTGGTGGTGCTATCAGAGAAGCAATGTGACTTGGCTAGCTTTCAAATCCCATTAAGGTTTCTAAATGTCTGTTCAGATTATTTTGGTTTGAGTGCTTACATGAAGACAGATTGACAGATACTGTGTAGTGATTGATTACCTTCCCTTGTTAGCCTTATGTCTTTCCCCAGGGCAGGTCTTTTTCACACAACAGTGCTTATTTGTAGGACGAATAGTGAAGAATATCCTACCCAGGGCCATCTGTTGATCAGGATACTATTCTAGGTTTCATCACTTCCTCATAATGTTTACAACAGTTTCATAATAGAGACGGTATGTTTTAAGAGCCAGCTTTCCCCATAAGTTCTTATATAACCAAAAATTTCAAAGAACCTTTCACCCAAGAAGTCCAAACCGTATGAAAAAAATATCACTACTTCAAAGAGCTCTTGAACAAGGCATTAGTTCCAATTTTAAGCTAAGAACTCACATCCCTTCTTTGTAATGCTCAGAAAACAGTGAAACTAACATCCCTTGCAAGTGAGCTTTCTGTAAATGAGAGAAGTTAACAAAACAAAAGGCTGAAATGAGTAAATTCTAGAAATTGTAGCTTTAGATCATCAAAGTAATTGGACAGAGTACTATTAATGTATGAATATGTACCTCCCAAGAACAGTAGAGGCTTCCAGGGATGGAGTCACCATCCCTGAATGTGTTTAAAAACCATCTGGATGTGGTGCTAAGGGACATGATTTAGTGGAGGGTTGTTAGAGTTAGGGTAGTATGGTTAGGCTGTAGTTGGACTCGATGATCTTTGAGATCTTTTCCAACTTGAGAGATTCCATGATTCTATGATCATCTTTATAGCACTCTCTGACTCTCTCTAGAATCTCCCTTGTCTTTCTTGAACTGGAGAGACCAGAACTGGGCACGGTACTCCGTGTGGCCTCACTGGGGCAGAGTAAAGGGGGAAGATTATCTCTCTACCTGCTGGCCGTGCTCTTTTTAATACACCCCAGGATATCACTGATTTCTTGGACACAAGGACACACTGCTGGCTCATGGCCAACCTGTTGACCATAAGGATACAGAAGTCTTTCTTTTCACAGTGGAGAAAGTACTCCAAACTTTTGTTTGTTTTGTTTTTTGTTTGGCCAGACACATTTTGGCCTTGGATGAAATTAGTCCTTTCAATACTTAGAGACCTCATTGCATTCAGACCTTTATTTAGAACAACATACAGCCTTCCAAACAAATCTAACTACAAAAGTGTAATCTGAAGAACCTCATTGTCTGCTTTGTTTTAAAATAAGGAATTTGTACTTATTCTTACTCACGCATTTTCAGTCTTCTCTTGCCCTCTTTTCGTTGTGCTTGCAAGCCTTCCCTAAGAAACCCACTCAGAATCAGCAGTTTCTTCTTCATTTTCCACATCCAGGGAGGCAAGTGAAATTAATGAATCTAGACTGATTTCCAACTGTTCTAGCTGAGAAAGAGGTGAAACTCGCACTGTGGTTGTACCGTGGCTTTTAGCCACACCTTAGGACAGCAAGTGGGGAATAATTAGGGTGCAAATGAAAATATATATATACTGATTTTCCTAATGACATGTGTGTGAACAGCGGGGCTTACTGGGAGTCCCAAAATGTCTCACTGAAGGCAGCCCAGGCTGGTTCATAAAATTCCCTTTTAGAAACTGCCCCTGCAAAGGCTCAGCGCAGGTGGTGTTGGTTACATGAGGGGGCCTTGCCTTGTCAGGTGTTCAGTGCACCTCAGCTATACGGTCAAAATCTGGACTGAATCATTATCAAATCCAGCAACGTTTTATTCTGCCATTTGTTTGCCCCTGTCAGTTTGACCACAGGATTATGTAGGTGAAAAATACAAATGACTACTATGTGGCAGATTGAGTTCGACAAATCTCACAAACCACACCTGATCTGTTACAACTCAGTCAAACAACCTAGCAGAGTTTCACCTTCCAAAATGCAGAGGAAGCCCAACAGTCTCATTTTCAACAGTGCCATGACAGTGAATGCAGATGGATGCGCAAACATGCCATATATTTATGTCATTCATTATGAACAATGTAAGGGGTTTAATGTGATATTCAGAAAGGTCATGAAGTTTCAGATAATGTTCTGTCTTCCTTAGTTTTCCACGGGAGAGAAATTTAATACCTATACAGCACAATGAAGAGATTTATATTCAGAAATATTATTTTGCTGTCCAAATGGATGGGATTTTTTTTCTCTGCTGCTGCTTGGACTTTCACAGTGTAGCAGTGCTTAATAGTGATTCGTCTGAGGCTTTTAGCACCCTACTGCTTTCTATTTCAATTTGCTGTCTTTTCCATGATCTATGAAGAGGTGAACAGCCAGGTTTGCAGTGGCAACTTCCCCATCCTCCTCTGCGTGGATTTCCCTCCTAGGAGCAGCCAAGCTTCCCTACTGCTGCCTTATGGCTGTTTGGCTAAAGAATGATGGTGGCGGTCACAATAAACCTCTCGGGCAGTTTTCCAGAGTACTCATCCCTGCAGTGACTTTGCTAACAAAGCTTGCAGAAATTTGTGTTCCTAATGAACCTACTTTCTGCTATGGATATCTCAAAGTAGACTTCTCCTGGCACCAGTTGCCCGCAGGTCGAAGAGGAAGAGCGTTTTTATACAATGCCATTACCATGAGGAAAAAAAAAAAAAAGAAAAAAAAAAGAATAAAACTTTATGGTTATATTCAGCACTTAGTTAAAAGATGGATGACCCTACATGGTAAATGAAGGGATAAATGGTCATTTTTCTTACAGACTGTGCTGCAGCCTTTAAATCAGCAAAAACATAATTTTTTAATTCTTCTAACACAGCTTCCTGATAAGCTTGCTGTGAATTCATTGCATGTTTTCAAACTCATGACTGTAGTACTGAAGAATATAATCCAAACAGATGGATGATTAATTACATGAGAAGTAATTAAAAAGAAACACGATTTCATGCTTTATAAAGTATCAGGATTTTTGGTAGTTGTCTTGTTCTCTGTGTCCTGTAGAACTTACCGATAAATTATAATACAGATACCAATACTTCAAACCAGTCAAGAAAAATTAAAGAGTTTCATTTATGCAATCTGAAATTAGTTTGGAGTACTAAAAAATTAAGACAATTAAAATTTGGGACATCTCAGCTGCCTGATTAAACATGCAACAAGATGTGTGACTGACACTCCTCTCCAATCTTCATTTATTTGTTAAATATTAAAAAACTCCTCAGATGTATATAAGCCATCTGCTGTTCTCACATTTATTGAACCTTGCTATAATATGCATCTGCAAAGCATTCTCATTTGATGCCATTAACTATGGAAATTTGCTCATGAAATTTTTCAGTAGAAAAACCTCATGTTTTCTAGACACTTCTGATTATGGCCCAATCTTCTTTTCTCTTTTGTCTGCAGCAGGTCTATTTTGATCATCACAGCTATGCTGCAGACTGCTTTGGTACTAAATAACCCTGACTGAGGCTCTGCGACCAGGATGGGTCCTTCTCACTGATGTTATTTTCTCAGTGCATTGCAGACATTTCCACCTGGAGATGGGGCCCTTGCACAGCCAATGGTCTACAGAGCCAGAGTTCTGGATGCTGAATGTCACTGTCCAGCATTGCCAGAGTAAGTGCAAGAGTGTGAAAGCATATGGAGAGTTTGAAAACAAAGATACAACCCTGTTTGCTGACTTGCAACCTAGGCAGCTCAGGGGAGGCTTCACTTCAGTAAGCATCCAGGCTGCACACTTTGACTGCATCCTCTGTCCTTGCCATCACACTCCCCAGTACCATGTCCCAGCCCATTTCCCTCCTGTAATGATAAGCAGAGCCAAAAACCTCTTCCCAGGCACAATTATAGTGGTAAGGAGATATGAGAGTATGACCAGCCTGGGCTGGCTTTGGCCAGACCTGCCACATGGCTGGTGCTGAGCTGCCTCTCTTCCCCTGATGGCATTTTCTTTTTTCCTGCTATGCCTTCCACCAGCTGGAAGTCATTGCGTAGTAACGAGTATGCTGGGATTTGCTAAGGCGACTGCTGTAATACAGCAAACATATGGAAATGAGAAGGAATACATCAGTGCCATCAGAGAAACTAGCCCTCAGGTCCTGGATGCAAGCAGAAGCAAGACATGGCAGTTGCAGTCAGTTAACATTATGAGTTACTTCAGAAATTTGACTTACCAGTTGACTTTTATTGTTAATTCAAACAAATACCTGCAGACTTCAGTCACTGGACTGCAAAATCTAAAGGTTATAGATATTTGCTGATGCTTTCTTCTCAGCCTGACAAATTAAGACAGGATGAAACCCCTATATTCTGTAGGTAGCTACCATTTGACCATCAGTGCTGATAATTCTACCAGAAAAACACTGTAAGAAAGCCAAACCCAAGTGGAATAGCACCTACACTACCAATTGAATGAAACCAATTCCATGGCCTCCCCAAGCTCCCTGCAAGAAAAAAATAGGAAGGAGGTACCATTCTGGCAGGCAAGGAAGTATTTCACTATGCCAGGCTTCATCACACAGTGGAAATCAGAACTCCATCAGAAGGAAGGTGGCAGCCAACCCTCTGCACAGGGCCTGCAAGTATGACCCAATGGGCCCTTCCTCAGTCAGCACTCTCAGTTACACTGGATGGACAGCCCTGCTGCCAAACAGGAGATTGAAATGTGCAGCTTCTCAGCTGTGAAGCATGCAGTCAATTTTCAGCTCAATAAAGGTATGACTTGGGCTGCTCTTTACCTTCACCAGCATTTCCCATCCACACTGTAGGAATGGCCAAAAACTGATGTGAGATAGACTGAGCTAGACGCATCTTAAGAGGTGAAAGAGTAGATGGGCAGCTATAGAAGCTGCTGGATGGAAAAGGACATCTGTGGAAACTGTCCAAGTGTCTCACTGGGTACAAGTGTATTTCATGCACTCGTATTTTCCCTGTATTTTTTCCTTTTGATCAACGAGCCTTGTACAGCTCTCCCTCCTCCTTGCTCCTCACAGGGACACAGCAGAGGAGCACAGTGATGTTAACATTGCTGTGTTATTGGTCACACAGCAGCCTCACTGTTTGGGTCCCAGTATTTGCATGGACATAGCACCACAGCCCACTGCCAATGAGGACGAGTCAACAAGAAAATGTAAGTTCAATGCATTTCACTTTATTTTCTGTCTCTTCTCTCCTAGTGATCCTTTAGTTTCCTATGCAGCACAGAATGAGAAGAAGGTAGAATGTTAAATAATGGAAGTTGCACCTTATTATTTAATATATAGAATGCAAACACTAAACCAAGAGGACTGTGATGCAGAGCATTGAGTGTACTGAAGGAACAGGCTACTGTCACTTCAGCAAGCACTAACTCAGCTATTTCTATGGCTGCAATCACTGGTAATCATCTTTATTACTGTCAGTGGGGCCAGTTCCAAAGACCGAGAGCTGTCTGCAGGGTTGTTGAAATAAGTGCATGCTACTCAGCATAAAACAGGCCGTGTCTGAGGTGTATGTGCCTAGCGACACTGGATTTAAGATTTACTGTATTAACAGCCTGTGTATTCACACCAAATAGCCTTAACCTGATAGCCTGATATCACTCACCACAAGTGATAGCTCATATTCCCCAAAAGATTACGAGATCGTTAGAAATATGGATCCTGAGTCCTCAGATGATGATCAAAATTGTGCCCAACAAGTGTAATTTCTGAATGGGGAGGAAGGACACATCCAAGAGTAGTGGCTGCAACCCTACACAAAGGGTCCCCAGCAAAAACAAGAGACTAACACAACAAAAAGTTTTTGGCGAGAGCAGTAGGACCTCATGGTGTGTCAACAGCAACATGGGTTATTGTGGCTCACTTACTTTTTAAATGAATACCAAAGTGGAGGCAAGGTGGGAAGACTTTCAGATTTCCTAGTTAAGTTTTTATGCATTTTTTTCAGTGATCAGTAGCACTTACAAAGAATATCACATTTCTCTTTTGTCTCTTAATGCATTCCTCAGAAGTGGCTTCATTACTGTTGTTTTTCATTTCTCTCTTTTCCCTTGTGGGAAAAGGAGACATAAGATAAAGCCCAGTATTGTAAATGACGACATGTTATTCTTAGTTCCTGAATTTAGGTATGCTTGACTAATTTATCCATAAGAAAATGAAAAAGATAACCCCATGCCCCGCAGTAATATGCTTTCATGTGTAACTCTTCATAACTGAAGTCCTTCAATCTGTCTATAAAGAACAGTCATTACAGTTGTGTTTGAAGAAAGTGGCACAATCTTTTATATATAATCTTCATATTTAATAAAGGACGAATACCTTCTCCTTTTATATAAAGGTGGTCAACATCACTATCAGACTGCAGACCATCATAACATACCTTGAAACACAGGCATCCAAAATGTATTTCTAACCTAAATATAAGTTAAAAATCCCTCTCTCTCCGTTAGTTTCCCACTAGTACTTCTGTTGGTTTTTGCTCCTTGCACAGCCCTTGAAGTTATTATTTTGACGACTGATGTCTTTATTCTAAATTGCTTCCACCCACCGAATATGGAGGGAAGAATTCTTACGTATTCTTCTCTGCTGTACTCTTCAAAATTCATGTATGTAAAGAGAAGAAAAAGTGTTCAAGAAAAGGCAAGGGAGACCTTATGGCCTGTGAGCCTTCAACCCACACTGAGCTCAATTGTAGCCAAAATTCAACACCTGTATTCACATACAAAGACACTCCCAGAGTTATGTCCATTCTGAAGGGATATGAATGGATATGAGACCTGGGATATTGCGAGCCTTCTGCTCCTGCCATGGGATCTGGTGGTGAGACTTTTGCATGCTCCAAGCACAGAAGCTTTGCAACATAGTGGTGACACCACAACCATGCCTGCCCCTATGAGAACTTAGTTGACATACCACCTATTCAGCGAGTTGTGGATAGCTGCCACTGTGGTCACACCATGCAGAAAATAAAATGCTCTAATTTTTTTTGTTTGAATGTTCCAGCACAGCTAATCCACAGGCTCCTAAAACTTGGGTGTATCCATCCATATTGATTACTGGGAATAAACTCTGGCCTGTGCTTTCTCCCACACCAGGCCAGCTGACTGGAGTATCAGCTGGCTGGATCACAGCCATGCAAAGGGGTCAATGTCAGTTACACAATAGTGTTGGTTTGACCAATACTGGTGCTTGGGGCCCAAAATTCTACCTAAGTTTATCCTACATGAGGTAACAAGGTTAAGGCAGCTGCCGCGTCTTTATATGTAAACAACACTGGGCAGACCTCAGTCGTTTCCTTATCAGATTGGCTTCAGAGAATTGGAAGCAAAGGGAGGAGACAGATGCCTGCACAGGTTTGCTTTGTAAACAAGGCTCAGGCTTGGGCCTCTGCTGACAACTTTCTCATTGCAATTATATAGCAATTCCCACCTGGAGTCAATGGAAATTGAATCTCAGAAGGTGACCTGGAAGCTAGTGGTATAGCTGTTTAACAAATATCATGTTTTGTACTCAGTGGATCCACTACATTAAAATAAGTCAAATACGAATAAAATATTGTTTCTGTGGATGAGTGCTACATAACTATTGCCATTCTCATTTAACAGAGGAATGTTGTAACAGGAGTTTAAACATGACAGTCCAGGTCTCAGAGTAGGACTCCGTGTCACAGCCACAAGTGCAGATTGAGCCATTAGGCTGAGGTCTCACTACCAAGCAGCGCTCTTCAGAAAAACCCAGAGCATTCTGTTTTCTTGAAGTTTCTGTTGCAAACACAGCACCCTTACTGTGCAATTTCCTAGCGTAAAGAGAGAAGGGCTGCATTTTCTACTTCGTTTCCAGTAAAGCTTGGACCTGAATTAACATCTGCATTAAATTACAGTAAGTTGCCACATCCACTGAGGAAGCTGGGTCTTCATTCTTCTGCAAGAGGACAAAGACGCATCTACACACTATTTATTTACTAACGTGTTGCTCCAGGCAAGTTTTCATCAGTCATTCTGAAAACCATTATAGAAGAGGTGAGTGCTAACAGAAGACAGCTTTTGGGTGGATATTTCAGCCAGTGCCAGGAAGTCATCTATATGCAATTTTGGAAGCAGAAACTCTGTTTGTTAAGGATCCCTCACATTCAACATTCTGAGTAATTGTATGCATAATTATCCATCATACAGAACAGAGTTGTAATAGTTCTACTGGATGGAAAGAAAGCATCTCAAAGGTAGGGAGCAATTACTGCAATGTTACCCATAGATGGATAAATTTATCCCAGAAATTTGAAGCAGAGGAAAAGCTATAAGATGTGTACTCTTCCATTTCCCTCCCAAATTGTGACTCCAACATCACATTTCTCTTTGTTTAAATAATCCCCAGAAAGAGCTTTAAGGGTGGTCAGATGTGTTTGCATTGCAAAGATAAAAACTGGCCTTTCTGCATTTTGTTTACCAATAACTATAAACAGATTCTTTTTTTCTTTTTTCTTTTTTTTTTTTTTCTGATGACTGTAACATTTTAATGTATTTGAACAGTAAGTAATCTTTTGGGAATATAAAATTTGGCAAGCTAAAAAAATGAAGACAATCTATAAATGCATCAATAATTTTGTACAGCTGATCACTGCTCCAAGTGCATTCACAGCAAAAAGGAGAAAGAACCCATCTGTAGGCTTTCTAGATATAAGAAAACCGATAGAATGAAAAACTATCTGGATCACATTGAATCAAAAGCAAGGCACACACCCTTTTTCTAACAGCTAAGAACAAAAGCTGGATTTCAAAGTGCAAAAGTTTCCTCATGTCGACATTCACTTTTGCAAGTTAACCTACTGGTCCCTTTATAAAAAAAAGAGATAAAACCAAGTAAGGTTTCTCTCTCCTTTGTCATGAAGGAAAAAGGAAGAATTATTGCAGCTATGCATAGTCATTTCTCGAGTGTCTTGGACTGGGTATCTGTTTTTTACTTTACTCGATCATAGAAAAGAGATTTACATTTTTGACACCTCATTTCCAGTTATCAGGGAGGAACATGCATGCCTGACTAATAAATGTTTTCATTTAAATATGTTTTTGGTCTATTTAGATTTCCTCAGGTATTCAGGAGTTGACCATTCTCTGAACAGCCTGAAGCTGAATTGGAAGATCACAAAAGAAGAAAGGAAAGATTTAGAAGTACATTTGTTTCATGTTTCTCAGGCTTGTTCCTGGATGGGATTGGAATACCCAAATATAGAAGTTGATTACCTGTCAGGTGACTGGGCTTCCAAATTTCTAAGTTCCTCATAAAAAAATCCATAAACCTAAGTGAAATGAATCTACTTCTACACATTCCTGAGTCCAACCGATGGCTTTTAACAAACAAATGATTTCAGTGTAGCTGACAGGCTGGGCACAATCTAACGGATTGTATGCTGCAGCCCCATCGATCCTCCTGGCTTTAAGTGCTGTTTCAATGTGTAATTCATTCCAATAAAAAAATATAATCCAGTTGTTACTGGTATATTATGAATTTCTGAACAAATTGTAAATCATCTTTTGGGCTTTTTTAGAGGTAAGGCTTTTAGGTCACTCTGAAATCCATGCCTGACATTTAAGTGTATATTGCCCACAACCAGTACTGGAATTTTGTGTTAGTTATTCAACTGTAAATGAATAATACTGCCTGTTACTGGTGTGACAGAAACAAAGAAATGATGCTTTTTGGAGATGATAACCATGTGTTTCCAGCTAACCTACCAAAAACAGGCAGACACGGGAATGTCTGAATTGTCTGAAAGGACAAGTTCTTTGGGGCACTAAGTCAGATCTGGGCTAAATGTTATGTTAGTAATATGTTTGCAATAAAACATATTCAACTCTTAAAAAGAGGCGTGTTTTATGGTGTTTTTGTCCTTACGTATAATATATAATTCAACAATTGCATATTAGCACTTTGTATTGATTGGTCCCAATGGGGCTTGTGATAATTCACTAATAATGTAGATGTGCTATTATTTTTTCTCTACTGCTTATTTTTGAAATACCAATCTTGAGCACGGTATTTCTACCGCTATCCATGAGGTGGCATGATGTGCACAGCAGAACAACAGTTAAATCATAACTTTTAATACTCCTTTGAATCCATAGTCCTTGGCATATTAAATTTTAATGATGAAAGACTGTAAAACCAGTCAAAGTTTTTGAAACCCTGTAGTATGATAAAAGCAATGATAAAGGTACCTGTTTGTGTGCATATGTGCTATGGGGATTTTCATTCTAGCAAATAGTCCTGGTGATGTTAAAAAAAAAAAAAAAAAAAAAAATTATTTTCCTCTTTTTTTTCCTACTTCAACTACCTAGTTTGTTTTTATCAAGTTCCCTTTTGTGAGACTGATTTATTTCTTTTCCCAGATCTCTCTTCCTTCTCTATTTTTGATTTTCTTTTCAGATTCTTGCAATAAGAAACAAGTTAAAATAGCCAGAGGTTTAATTTCTTACTGACTGGACAGAGTCTGGGGAATGTCTTTTAAATCAGATACTTTTCACACAACTGTTAATCATGCTTCTGAATCAAATATTTAACAAGATGAAATCTAAATTAGGATGGTAACATCTTTAAAAGAGCACATAAATATATTTATCTGTGATAAAGATAATATCTTTATGTGCTCTTGCACATGGGTTTGTCATCAAATGTGCATCATAAACTCATCTCTTGAACACAGCTTTACATATTTGCTTGCCTGAGAAGGCCAAATATTTTCTAATCCTAAATAAAATCTATAGAATCATAGAATCATGGAATCATAGAATTGCTCAAGTTGGAAAAGCTTTTCAAGATCATCGAGTCCAACACAACTTAACTATACTACTCTAACAACCCTCTGCTAAATCATGTCCCTGAGCACCACATCCAAATGGTTTTTAAACACATCCAGGGATTGTGACTCAACTGAGGAGCCTATTCCAGTGCTTAACAACCCTTTCTGTAAATACATTTTTCCTGATATCCAACCTAACCTTAGCCTGGTGCAACTCAAGGCCATTTCCCCTTGTCCTGTCACCTGTCACCAGTGAAAAGAGAGCACGCAAAGGCTTTTGGCAAATTTGGGAAAATCCTGGCATATCACAAATTAACAAATGGACTACATGCCAAGATCCTTTGTCCTCAGCTAACACAGTCTATCTCTCTCTGGTTCATCTTGTCGTGTCAGAGGAGGATACTTTACATAGTCAAATAACAAGAGTCCCCTTCCCAACCTAGAGAGTGAGGAGAAGTGTGGAAGAGTTGGGGTCAGAACAAAGGTGTAACATAATTCTCTGTTAGGGGAAGTAGGAGAAGTATGATTAGTGAGGGGGGGGAAACCAGTTGGTGGGCCCTGACCCCTAATGTCCAATGAAAACAGTGGTACCATTCAGAGAGAAACAGAAAAGATGATTATGATGAGGCAGGTCTGAGGCAGAGCTAGGAGATAGTGATTCAGATCACAGAATTATAGAATGGCTGGTGGTGGAAGAGGTCTGGCACAACCCTTGCCCAAACAGGGACAGCAGAACAGGGTGCCCAGTCCCACATACAGGAAGCTTTTGAAGATCTCAAAGAAGGAAACTACACAGCCTCTGGGCAGCCTGTGCTCCATCAACTGCACAGCACACAAGTGCTGCTGTTCAGAAAGTACCTCCTGTGTTGCAATTTGTGCCCATTGCCTCTTCTCCTGGCACTGGACACCATTGATCAAAGACTGGCTCTGTCCTCTTTGCACCATCCCCTTGGGTACTTACAGGCATTGATGAAATCCCCTTCACACCCCTCTAATACAGGCTAAGCAGTTCCAGTTCTCTCAGACTTTTCTCACAGGAAAGATGCTCCTGTTCCTTCATCATCTTCATGGTCCTTCACTGGACTCTCTCCAATAGCTCTGTCTCTCATACTGGGGAGCCCAGGGCTGGACTCAGCACTCCAGGAAGCAGTCAGGGTCAGCCAGGTCCCTGGCCAGGGAAAAGCACAGCACAGCTCAGGGCCTGGGTTTACATGCAGTTAAATGTAGCTCCCAGAAAAGACAGGGAGGAATTTGGTGGAGGTCCCAGGGCTGTTTCTCAGCAGGCTGTTGCAGGCCATATAGCCTAGAGCTGGGATCTGGCTGTGGCTGCCAGGACCAATTTCTCCTCCCTACGCTTTGGATTCCTGTGGGCTCCCTCCAGAGCTGCTAGCCAGGATGAGTCATAGGTGTGGGCAGGCGACAGTTTCTGTAGGAGAAATTTTGGTCTCCCAGAGGAATGCTGCCTACAGCAGTGTAGATACAACTGCTCGTGAAAGCTTCAGATCAAACAGACTTATTTTAATTGTACAGCCTTCGTAAACCAAAACACAAGTGTGAATATGTATGTGTAAGAGTGGTACAGAAGGATTGGTTGTCACACACCTGAGAATCTCTCTGCAACCTTTAAGCCAGACAGCTTTACTTGCAAAGAAGATACAACATACTGGTGTGTGGCTTATGAATATCAGACCAAGGTTATTTAAACAATGTTGTTGGCTTTCATCTGCCCCAGCACTTGGGTCTTTACACCTGCTTGTTGTTCTGTTTATGGCTACACAGATAAAGAGAGATAAATACACCCTAGTGACCTGTTATTGAACAATAAGGGACAATGCAGGTAGCAGATTTGTTTGCTCACATGTAGTACTGTTCTCATTCCAATTATGTGATGTGTTAGGAAATGCTGTAATCCCTCCTTGAATATGATGCTCTACTAATTGGGCAGATACACAATACCGTGGGAAAAAAAGAGTTTAGATTATTCTTGGAGTCACATTCAGTCAACTTGTAATTCAACCTCAGTGAGTCTGCTTGGCATGGACTCACCTGAGTATTTTGATAACATTTGCAATAAGGCTCGTGTGAAATAAATAGGAAAAAAAAAAAAAGTAAGTTTAAAGCTGTGATATTAGGTTCCAAGGGAATAAGCTGAACAAGGAGAATGATTTTTGCTTTCCCAGTGTTGTTTATGCATGGATGACATTTAGGGAGACTATCACCAGAGTCTGCTGCTGGTTTTGAAAGGCAATAGACCGTGCCATAGCAGCTATGCCACAATATTATCATATATGAGGCTGTGTAGCATTGCTGACCAGCAGACTTTTATGAAGAGACAGGAATAAAACCAGATGCTTAATTTGTTTAAAATCAAAGAAAAACATTTGAATTATGATTTGTATGAAAGAAATTGAAATTATGGCAAGAAACCATCATTTATCTGCTATTACCTATCAACCCGGGGAAAAAAAAGTACATCTTACACATAGATGCTGAAAACAAGCAGGACAAGCTAGATTTCTGTCCTCAGCTGCTAAGCAAGTATTTAGAGACCTGGAAAGCCTTGTGACCCATTACAGTGAAGCAAAAGGCTATTGGTACACAAAGGTGATCAGGGATGTTCTGGCATACTGCAAGCAGATCACCAGAATATAATACAAGCACAATTCTAAGGGGCAAATCCTGCAGCAGTGAACTTGATAGGAAATAGTAAAGATCTGAATTTCTTGATTATACACAAAATTTGTGATCTTCTTTTGGTGTAAATTAACTAATCTGTCAGGCTTTTCCCCAGTTATGCTTTAGAGATAGTTGGCTTCCTGAATAGAGAGGACAAAGAGCACTTCTTCACAGTTGTATGGATGAGAGCATCCTCCATCCGATATAGCTGCACCTCACTATTCCTCAAATGGTACCTAAGGAGACAGTGCTGCCACTCTGATGAAAAAACCATAGTTCTGGCCAGAAATGACATGGTATCATCACCATTTAGGGCACTAAAGAACCAGATTCTAACAAGACATTTAGCTCAGTGGGTAGGAGCTGAATTTATTTCAGAAAAACAAAACAAAACAAAAAAACAGCTTGCAGATGTGGAAGTTTTGGATGGAAGAAACATTTTACCAATTTGAAAAGAAACCTCTTCAGTGTACAAAAGAGCTCCTAAGTTGTAATTTGTTATAATTAAACTAGATGAGACTGATTCTACAAGGAGGCAGGCCAATTAGTTTGGGATGTCAATTTTTGTTTGCTGCTGTCAAAGGCTGTTAAAGGAACTTGATAGATTGCTGGGCTGGCTTTTTTAAAATCAGATAATCCCCACACAAAAGGCAGGCAGACAGCTGGGTGCACAGAGCAGTTGCCAGTATGAAAAAGTCCACACCAGCCATGTGGGGCATGGAGGTGATGGAAGTTTTGCTATGCTCGAGTTGACAACTGGATGGAGAGAGGAAACCGAAGACTCATACCTGAGAAGCTGCAAAGAACAACGAAAGCTTGCACTAAAAGCTGTCTAAAAGATGCCCCTATTAGTTTTGGGAAAATCTGCCACTCTTGGGGAAGGACTAAATCCTTTTGTGTGGCCCAAATGCATTGCCCCAGGGTTTTAATAATGAACAGTTATTTTTGTGACATGCTAACAAAGTCCCATACCTCTAGGTTCAAACTCTAATATTTTAACAATATATAGTGAATACCATCTTCTTAATGAAATTTGCTGCACTAATGAAAGAAAGCAGATGTTACATAAAACCAGGTAAAATTCCTGTGATTTTAACTGATACAGCTCTACTGGAAATCATCTAGAGTAGTTAATATCATATTCTATCACTATAAGGACCCTTTATCAAATACAGGCAATAAACTATTGTATTTTAGAGAGCAACTTAAGATCACGATTGATCTTCAAAAGATGTAATAAGTTCAGGTTTTTTTGAGTCAAAAATCTCCACGGATAGAAAAAGCTGTGGACAACAGCCCAACCATGTTGTCTCCTGCAACACCAGCAATTTTAATATATCATCGCTCTATCATATAATCACAGAATGGCTTGTATTGGAAGGGATATAAAAAATCAACCAGTTCCATCTCCCTGCAGTGGTCAAGGTTGACAGACAGTGGGTCAGACTGCCCAGGGTCCATCCAACCTGGCCTTGAGCAACTTAGGGGATGGGGCATCCACAATCACTATGGGCAACCTCTTCCAGAACTTTACCTTCCTCTGAATAAAGAATTTCAGCCTTACTTCTACATCAAATTTCTCCTCTTCTAGATTAAAGCCATTCCCCCTTGTCCTATCACTATCACATCATGTAAAAATTCAGTCTCCCTCCTGTTTATAAGCTCTTTTCACATAATGGAAGGCCACAATGAGGTCTCCCTGCAGTCTTCTCCAAGCTGAACAAGCCCAGGTCCCTCTGCCTTTCTTCAAAGGAGAAGTGCTCCAGCCCTCTGATAATCTTTATGGCTGTCCTCTAGACCCACTCCAACAGCTCTTTATCTTTATGGTGTTGCAGCAGTCCCAGGCCTAGACACAGTACTCTAGATGGGGCATCACAAGGGCAGAGTAGAGGGGATCAATCACATACCTCACCTTTCTGGCCATCCCTCTTTTGATGCAGCCTAGCATATAGTTGGCTGCTTCTTCTTGGCTTATCAGTCACGATAAAATCTGTTCACAAACACTTCTTCATACATTTTCCGTTCTCAGGTGCTAAAAACATCAGCTGCTTTTTAAAAGTCTGTTGGTAGCTGGCTCAATCTTTACTGATTATGTAGCACCATCTTTTTGCAGTCATGTGTCCAGTTTTGTTATCAGAAAAAGTACCACTGCAAATCTAATTATCTGTAAACTTGAATTAGCCAGAGACTTCCAGGTGGGAAAAAGATCTAAAAGTCTGAAGGGCAAATCTTAGAGCTGTTATAAATTGCTATAGTATGGTACACAAATTCCACCAAGGAACAGCTTATACCAACTGATGATCTGCTCTGAAATTTTATGAGCAAACTCTTTTTTGCAGTAAAAATGCAGCCATTTCCTGAATTGCAAATTGCAGTTAAATTTAAGAAAATTATCCAAGCTTATTTAGAAAGTCAGCACTTATTTCTTACGTTGCTGGTTGATCTGGGAGTTACCTATCACCTTACTGAAAGCATATGTATTAGAAAAGCATTATTTCTCAAGACTTCCAAAACATTAGCCAGTATGTATACTTCATTGGATGACACAGAAATTAACACTCAAATCCATTTATTATTCTCAAGATCTTTTTTTTCCCAGCACTTACAGATTTCTAGGTACTATTTTTTGTGTGTCTCAATTTAGAAAAGAAAGACAGTTTTCCTTGGCATTGCAGTGTCCATTTTCACTTGTTCTAATGAAGACAAATTCCACTCAATTAGGGTTGTTCTGTTCGCTAAATGAGACAGATGGGAAACTTGCTGTACTGGTAAGGGTTCCAAGATTTTAAGCTTACTTGTAATATGCTAGTTAGTGTTCTCCAGCTAAAAAGTGATCAATATATCAGATAGGTAGAAAAGCAGTCAGGTTCTGTCTTTGCAGAATTTTTGTGGTGTGCCCATGGTTCCTCATTGATAAGCTGAAAATCTGAAGTTCAACAGAAAGGCAAGAAAGAGGTATATCCAGACAAATTTGTAAAACATGATCCAGCAGATATGTCTGTCTTGGTAGAAAATTAAATAGATGCTTCCAAAGCTCTGCCAGAATAGGGCGCATTCTGCTCTGAAGGAGAATGTGTGCAAATGATGAGGATGTAGTACTCCTTCCCTTTTCTCCTCTCTGGTCCTCATGGTAGAACTGGATTCAGTCAAAAGCCTCTTATCTACCAACCCATAACAATTAATGCCATTAAGTTAATGCTGAAATGCAAAGCCCATATGCAAACTGCACTGATCATTGGAATCTGGAATCAGTGCTAGATGCCCACACTGTGAACTCTCTGAAATGGAGAAAGGTGAAACAAGGCAGCTCCTGAAAGCCATTTGGCTCTGAACAGTGCTCAGATTTGCCAGTCTCCAAAATTCTGGAGCCATCTCCAACTCAGAAGTCTGTAGGCACTGGCTGAATAGACACTGTCGTTGTTCAAGATATAATACAAATAAATGAAATAATCTAAGCAAAAGTAAAACTTTACACAAGTAGATAAAAATGTTTTTTGCCTTATTGGAATATGGCAACTACAAAGAAATTCACATTGAATCTTCTTCGTGAAGCCTCTAAACTGTTAGCATTTATATTAGCTTTGTGACAAATATTTATTTTTTTCACATAGATAAAGTCTTCAAGATAGGACAAATCTGGTAATTTGCAATAGTCTAGAAAATATGAGAAAATAGCATATGAGAAACATTCAAATACATGATCACAGATGGCATTATTTTCATGTACAGCATTCCTGGTGTTGGTACAGTCTGACCTTACACAAAAACACTTACTGTTTGAGGTATATTGAGCCCTAAGAATACTAAGAAAAAGTCCTATTCAGTTGTTTCTGTTGATTTTGTTTTAACACTTCATACTGGAAGGGAAAGTTAATCCACATTCAGTTTATGTTTTCTCCAAAGATGGTGAGGCTTTTGGTTCAACTGACTGGAAAACAGGTGGATGAGCCACAGAAGCCTTTCTACCTAAAAACGATAGATTGTATTAACTGTCTCATTAGGTTCATATCACTAATTAACTCAAATAGACTATCTAAGGGAAAGAATCAAAGCAAGTCTTCATCTATTTCACATCTGCTCAGACTGGAAAAGATAGGATAGACACGCTTCAAGAAAAGACTGCAAACTGAGAATCCGAAAGCTGTTAGAACGCAATTTACTAGCTGAAGACCATTCAGGAAATTTATGAAAGAACTTAGTGGACCTTAGTTCAGCTTCCAGTGGAGAGACAGAGACACGCATATCAGAAAGAATGCTTTTCGTGACAATCCCATCCAAGAAAACACAAAATGAGAAACCACAAAAAGGGAAATGGCCCCCAAGTCCTGATGAAGTTTATACTGATGCTGAGGCACATTATGTGAAGAGATGTAACTCTGGTGTATAAAACTGTGCACAGTATTTTAAACAGTAATCAAGAAGAAAGAAACACAGAGTTCTGGTAAAAAGATTGCCAGTTCCCCAAAGAAAGTAGCTTTTGTGTATCACTTTATGCTAGTGGTGACAGAATAGAAAACAAAATACGACAGTTACATACATGTTCTTTGTCTAGAAGTATTTACAAATAACTTTACAAATTTTTGTACACATATTCAGATTTGCTTGTTTACTTCTAAATAAGGAACAAAATTATTTCCCAGAGGCTTCTAAGGCTGAAGGTGGTGCCTTATACTGTACATTCATGCTTGGCTTCTTCCTGGGAGAAGGGAGGAAAAGAGTTTAAAAGTGTGCAAATCACAGACACCTAAAGAACCCTGGAATTAAGGGTTTCTAGTGACTGACATCCACAGATTGTATGGTCATTCTATTTCTCTTTGAATCAGAGACAGCTACTGTTGATGGGCTCAGAGTAAGAGATAAGAGAAGGAGCCATATATGAATTGCAATAATTAGATGAGTACGTTTGTACTGGAACATCTGGTCAAGTAGAGTCATAGACCTACGCCTACTGCATACCGCAGTTCAAAAAAAAAAAAACAAAAAAACCACAAGCAATGAACACTGTGAATTTCAAAATACAGCACTGAAATGAGCTCCTTTGCACCATTAGGATTTAACTCCTGCTGTATTTTTTGGAGTCCAAATCACTGACATGATTTTTACCAGGCACAGTATGATTCTATCAGTTCAAAATACCGACTTCCTTGAGGAAGATGCAGCCTTCTCATAGTTTTCACAGGTTTCGTTTTCATGCCTTAACATTAAATGTTGTAAAAATATTAAAATTAAAAAAGAAAAAATTTACAATTTACAAGTGTCCATATAAGTAAATCATTCAAAAATTCAAGTCATCTACAAGGATCTACCAAATAACAACGCTGATAATGACACTGAGCCTGTGGGAAGAACAATCCACGCGCCGTGAGAAACGGACAGTGCGTTTCTTCCAGAACGATGAGTCACAAGGTTGGTCTTTTCTTCTGACATCTGTTTCTTCAGCTACGACAGCAGAAGTCTTGACTTCTTTCATTACTTAGTTCGACCTAAAAAAATAGAACATATGAATTAGTTACAAATGAAAACCTGTTCTATGCCTCTTCTAATTTTTTAGCTGTAAATTCACAACAGCTGACAGGTTAATAACTAATGAAACAAGAAGTCCAATCACTAGCTGCCTCAGCTGTAAGACTCATATATAAGGTCACGAATGAGTAGCTGGATACAAAGTGGTAGCTTTGCATTACGCATACCCGGAAAGCAAAAAATGCGGGGAACAATATTGCTGCTGATGAAAAATGCTGGAAGTGCACATAATAATAGACTCTTCTCAGTATAATATATCTTAGCAGCGTAAGATATGTGCTCATTAGGTTATAGATTTTTATCTGATGACAAACATACTTTTGAGCTGTACTCATACATTCATGTGCCTGCTGAATCTATGTATTCTCACATCTGCCTGTAAGCCATGTTCACTTGTGCAAGCTTGGAAATTCTGTGATGGCCTTGGTGGACTGACTCTCAAGAGAAGATGTGAATTGGGCAGGACACAGAACTACCAGAGTGGTAACCCCTCAATTGACAGTTTCTCAGACACTTTGTGAATCTCACAAGCTAGTAACAGTTCTAGTAATACAATTTCTCCTTTGGAATTAGGGAACTCAGTGTGTGTCCAGACAGGGTGGCCTACAACTAGAATAGCACTGGATCAGACCTACTCACCCTAGCAAAAATGATGCTAATGCAAAGTGTAACTCACTGTAATGTAAAGTGAATGTAATGTAAAGTGAAACTCACTAATAAAGATTAAAAAAAAGAAGAAAAAAAAAGTGAAAGCCAAAATGCAACACTTTTAACTTCTTCAAAACATTGTGGTAATAATGAAGAAACTCAAGCAAAATTAAAATGCAATGTTCTGTGTGTTTTTTTTTTTTTTCTTGTTCACATGCTTCTCTATTTTCCATTTAGCAGTAAGTAGAAAAAACTTTAATTAGTATCAAGTTACCTGGTTGTTGATATTGTGTTTGAAGCAAACAAAACTGAAGGCACAACACTCTTCTTTACAGCCTATGTGTCATGTGTCTCAAAAAGAACACAACAATTTTTCCCACTCCCTTTGTCCCTTCTGCCTTCCACATATTTTAATTGAAAACTGCATGGTTCAGGGAAAAGATTCCTCTTCTGTTTGTCCCATGTGTGGGAAATGGGAAGATGCTATTTATTTTCCAGTATTGCAGGCTCACCAGCATCCCCCAGATCCTTTGAGCTATTTAACCTAAATCTGCTATCAAATAATAAATTCTCATAGTCTGTGACTTTTGTACAAAAATGAACGGCTTTTGAAGGAATGTATACATAAATCTTTCCTCAAAATGTTTTTTATCTCCATTAATTACAGTAATTTTGCTCACATACTGTTTTATATCTAACCTCACACCAGCTTTAAAATTAAAGAGACTAACATTTTTAATGGAGAGGAGTAAATACTGTATCTGTGGCTTTCTTCTTCATAGATAACAATTACTCTTTCCAGTCTCAAACATCTTCTTAAGAATGGTCAAAACTTCCTTCTGCTGTCACTTTTCCCGAAGAAAATGCATTAAAATCAGCATCAAATGAAATATTATGTAAATGCAGATTCCAACATAGTGATATACTTAATGCCACCTCAAACAGCTTGTTATTTTGTCTTAGTGTCTTAATGTGATATTTCTTACTGTTGTAACATGCACTGTCACATTGAGATAAGGCTTTTCTCATTTTGGGGCATTCATAATCCTACAATATTCATCTACTCGATTTTATGAAATTTTGTCCATGTTTATTCCTATAAACTGAAAGCTACAGCATGAGTAAAATGTATTTTAAAAGCATGCAAATATTAGTGAAGTCTCAAGCAAAGTTCAAGTGGACACTCAAAACACTTTGTTAGCAATTAGCCTCTTTAGATTGACTCCCAGTACATGCACATATGCATACATGAGGAAAAATCTTCAGTCTCTAATTATCTTGATTGGTAAATAAAATACCAATAAAGTTGTTAAATCAAGTTCAGTCATTTATCTGCAATCATTTGGTATTACGTTTAAGAAGCTTGAAAGGACCAAAGGTAAATGGAAAGATAGAAGGCTTCAATGTAACTACTTAAATACATCAAAGAATTTCCAAATGAGTATCTTCTATTTTAACAATAATGTAATGAAATATCATCTACTTGAGGCAATCAGATCTTCTTTCAAATACTGATAATACTTCCCTGTCCTTTAATTTACTCCAACTAAAATGCAAATAAGTGTATCCAAAATTATCATCAGATAACAAAGAACATTTTGTAGGACATGCCTATGAAAACTGTGATTGCCATGGTGGGAGCAAATAACTGACAACAAAGAGATAATGAAGTCGCTATGAAACTACAGATTTTAAGCTGACACAGTTTTTCTGCAAACATTTTTCTCTCAGTCTCAGGCCAAATGTAAAAAGCTTCTGTTTTTCCATAAGTGGGTTAATCTCATTAAGATTTATGAAGCATCAGCCGTAAATCAGCTCTCTTCTTGCTAAAAAGTCAGCAGGGAAGCATTGCCATCCTTCACTGTGAGCCTTTCCTTGTGTTAAGCCAAGACACAATATGGCAGACACGGTGCTATCTCTTAATCCTCTCCTTAGCAAACATGCCATCAATGACATAGTGACCTTACTAGCATGTTTTAAGTGGATTAATTTTTGATTAAGTTCTAATTGAAGTATAATTAAATTATTAGTAACCTCATGCCAAAATTACGTCAGGAGAAGGTTAGCTTTCAGTCCAGTTAGAAGGATTAATGTGGTCCACAGGACCAGAACCTTACCTACAGGCTTTAACTCAACATGTTCCTGGGGGGGCTGTCGGTAGGAGTATGTGTCAAGTCCGCCTATAAAATCAACTGAAAACACAATAGTGCCAGAAATGAACAAATGGAAATGAAAATACGTCAACTGAAAAATAGGTATGGAAAAATTATTAAAAAAAAATAAAATAAAAGTAAGCACATGCACAGGTTTGCAATATAAGAAGTAGGCAAAAAACACTGTGGCTTCCAGAAGGCTCTGTGCTCTGTTGTCATTGAGATCCACATAGCACAGTGCCTGACCAGACAAAGAAATGACCAGACATGCTTGCTCCCGTCAGCATGCATGCTAATTCACAGCTCTGCTGTGGAGTAATGTAGCTTCTTGGTTTTAGGGCAATCTCAGCATATATTTCATAATTCAGATTCTACTTCCTTTGAAGTGTTTAATTTCTTTTGCAAACCAAAGGACTAGCAGGAATGTAAGGCAACAATAAAAACCAGTTGAGAATAAGCAGGTGGCAGCTGGATGTGGAAAAGCAGCAGAATCTTCTCTGGATGAACGTCTGGGGGCAGGGATTGTTTTTGGAATCCTCTCAATTTATCTCAAGATTTCTGTTAGAAATAATGTGAAGATGTCTGCTCTTCAGATGTTCTTAGTTCCTTTTATGATCATAATGATTTTAAAATAATGACATTTTAGTCTAAGTCTTGTATCTTGCTATTTTTGTTAAGATTTCTGACAGCTTCCAGAAGCTACACTTTCAAGCCACCCCAGAAATCTAAAATCAAGTTCAGGGAGAAGATTATTTTTATTGATTTAGAATGGCTTCTTACAGAAACAATGTAGACCTGGCAAATTCACAGCACATGAAGATTCTTTGCTCACATGGAAGGCAACTGTCTTTACTTATTTATATACAGCCACATATATAAAAGTCCTATGTAACTCCTTGTGCTAATCACTGTATGAGCATCTAATGAATAGCCTCTTCCTCAGAATTATATGTATAAGGTAAACAGAAAAAGAAAACTCATCCAGAGGGGACAGAGAAATGAGGCTTGGAGACAGAAGGACTGATGGAATACCCTCTAAAATTTGCAAAAATGCTCCTGTTGATTTTAATCTTCTCTCCTCTTGAGACTATGGTAGGGAAAGCTTAGCTGAAAACTTAACTTGATGCACTTCAGTGCATCTTGAAGCATGAACTTGGCTGCAAGACTATTTTCTTAAAACTGCCTGAGCGGGATACAATGCTGAGCAGCCAGCCCAGCTGGGTGTCAGCACAGGTCAGGGTCAGCCTAGGTGAGTGGCAGCCCTCGCCTCTCTGCATCATCCCCTTCAACCGCATTTCTTACTTGTTGCAACCCTCTTTCAGAATGACATAACAAAATAAAACACCAAACATCAAAAAAGACTTAAGCACTAATGGGACCAAGAGCTATGTTTGCAGATATATTCTTGTAAAAGCTGATTTATAAAATATCTATGTGTATAACACAAACCACAGCTAATTCTTCTTTTTTTTGAAAAAAAAAAAAAAACAGGCCTCCAGAGTAACAGAATCTGTTGGGGCTTTTTTAGTTTTTTTTTTTTGTTTTTTTTTTTTTTTTGGTTTTGTGTGTGTGTGTGTGTGCATTTTTTTTTTTTTTTTTTTTTTTTAAATATTCTTTAGTTTTCCCATCTCTCTACTGAGGATTATTTTTTTTTTTTCTAAGAAAGTGATAAAAGGAGTTGGCAAGTATGTTTTTGAAATAATTCAGCACTTCAGAATCATACATCACTCCTCTCAGCAATCACCAGAATAATCCACAACTGTAAATGTGGAGAGAATTTAAAGCAACCGGTTCTTCTACCAACAGATCTTCTGGAGAAAGAAATGAAGTCAAAATGTATTTATGATTGGAAACATAGATGTGTTTTTTGACAAAGAAAACACTTTATAGCACCATCAAAAAAGTTTGGAGATAAGATGTTCAAATCTGCTTAGTTGAGACTTTCTCTTTTGCAATCCAAGAGCTGAAGTTTGACTTGAAATTCATGTGAAGATAATTCTCAAGGCAAGAGCTGCTCTATCACACATGGGAACGGAATGTGACGTTTTCCATTATGCACTCTATTTTATGGCTGATAGCTCTTTAATATGAAGATTCATCACCAGTTATTAGAATTGTATGATACTTTTCATTTTAAGGATTCAGACAGATTTTACTAG